ACTTATACTTGTCGGACACAACACCCCAGAGAATACAATTCCGTCCGAACCAGTTTTCCACAATAATTCTGTCCGACGCAATGCTTTGATTCGTATTGTCGAAGTGCAATGCCAAACGATTTCCGCCATATGCACATGCAGGAGTAATGGCACGAAAAGAATGCTGGGCTCCTTGATACCCACTATCGGCTAAAAAGGCCCACTCGTCAGGAAAAGTATCAAACAAGGGACAAGTGTCTTCCATGTGGAGCTCCGAAGGTTTTTTGCAACGGAATGAACCGTGAAATCTATTGCACGGGTCAAAGTGGGTTTTGTCGTGGACAGAGCCTGGCACATGATGACTGACGTGCAAAGCATAGCCCTACGAACTGACAGTGACCTCCACCTTTTTGCCATAAAGTTTGTGTTTGCCGCTGAATGCAAACATGGACTCATTGTGGGTCTGTTGCTCTGCTGGAATGTGGCTTCGACAGCGTACAATACATCAGGAAAACTTCATAACAACTTTCCAGTGGCAACAAGATTGCTCATTGTACGCAGCTTGGCTTCATCTTGAACAAAAATTTCGTAGACTTGGTCGTGAATTTTCAGCAAAAACTTCGTGACCATTTTTTCAAATGATGGAGCTTGAAGTCCAAACAGGGCAGCCAGGAACTCCCAAGTTCCTCCAGACTTCACGACAGTGAGCAGCATAAAGAGTATGTCTTTGCCAAAGTAGGGACATTTGCGTCCCTTTCCGACGTTCCATGTACGAAGAACGCTTGGTTTGATGGCGAACCAGAGCGATTCAAATTCGGCTTGAGAAAAATTCGTCATGGAGTGAATACTGTCGAATGCCGCAAACTTGTCGAAGACGGGAAGAATTGAGTCACCATCGTCTGCGTCATCGGGTGGGGCTGACGAGAAGCGATCACGCTCGTTCTGGCGTTTTGCATTGCGGTTTACGACAGCGAGCGTGGCTTGACGCACGAGCTGCATATCACGGCGTTGGTTTTGTTGCGTGGGGGTTTCGCGGGACATGTTGGGTGCGTTCGAGGAGTTTCAATTGTAAATGAGGTTCCTTTGACAAAACTTGTTTATAGACTATTCCACAAATGTACTTCGTAAAGACTTGGCTT